CTGTTTGCAGTTAAAGGAATGACTGGCAAGTGCAGGCTTTCAAAAGTAAGATAATGAAAGTTCAGGGGCAGTATGTTCCTATTAGAGTGGTGGCGTAAGTTGTTGGAGGGGATTCTGAGAGATAGGATTTACATGCTTTTGGAGAAGCAAGGACTGATTCAGGATAATCAGCATGGCTTTGTGCATGGGAAATTTTGTCTCGCAAACTTGATTGAGTTTTTTAAGGACCTGACCCCAAGAAGATTGAATGCAGTGCGATAGATGTTGTCTACATGGAATTTAGGAAAGCCTTTGACAATCTGCATAGTAGACTGGTTTGTAAAGTCAGATCACATGGATTCAGGGAGAGCTTGCCAACTGGATACAAAATTGGCTTGACAGTAGGAGACAGAGGGTGGTGTTGGAGGGTTGTATTTTGGAGTGGAGGCTTGTGACCAGCGGTGTTCTGCAGGGATTGGTACTAGTTCCACTTTTGTTTGTCATTTATATAAATGATTTAGATGAGAATTTAGGAGGCATGGTTAGTAAGTTTGCATATGACACCAAACTTGGAGGTATAGTTGACAGTGAAGAAGGCTATCTAAGCTTACAAAGGAATCTTGATCAACTGGGCCAATGGACTGAGGAGTGAGAGATGGAGTTTAATTTGGATAAATGCGAGGTATTGCATTTTGGTCAAGTGAACAAAGACAGGACTTATACAGTTAATGGTAGGGCCCTAGGTGCTGGTGTTAAACGGAGAGATCTAGGGGTTCAGGTACACAGTTCTTTGAAAGTTGTATCACATGTAAACAGGGTGGTTAAGAAGGTAATAAGCACACTTGCCTTCATTGCTCAGACCATTGAGTATAGGAGTTGGGATGTCATGAGGTTGTACAGGACGTTGGTGAGACCACTTTTGGAGTACTGTGTACAGTTTTAGTCGCCCTGCTCTTTGGAGGAAATTATGAAATTGGAGAGGGTTCAGAAGAGATTTGCAAGGACGTTGCTGGGACTGGAGGGTTTGAGTTTTATGGAGAGCTGGGACTTTTTTTCATTAGAGCGTAGGATGTTGAGGGTTGACCATATGGAGGTTTAAAAAATCACAGGGGACATAGATAAGATAAATAGCAAAGTTTTTTTTTCCTAGGGTGGGGGAGTTTAAAACTAGGGGGGATCTTTTTAAGGTGAGAGGCAAAGGATTTGAAAGGGACTTGAGGGGCAACTTTATCACATGGGGTGGCATTATGTGGATTGAGGAAGTGGTAGATGCAGGTATGGTTATAACATTTAAAAGACATTTGACAGGTACATGAATAGGAAAGGTTTAGACGAATATGGGTCAGATACAGGCAAGTGGTACTAGCTTAGTTTGGGAAACTTGGTTGGCATGGATGAGTTGGAGCAAAGAGTCTGTTTCCATGCTCTTTGACTGTCAATGGAAATAATTTTTCACTTGTTTTCTTTACCATTTCAAAATTTGGTGCATGTTGGGCCTCCTGACCTTTTGTGCTGCAATGAATGCAGCTCTGTTTTTCATGGATCTCATCATAAGTATGTTCATATTATCCTGGGAATCAACTCTGCATTTTTATGGCTCCATTATTCTTACTACAGTGGAGTCTGTAAAATTGCACACAACATGGCAACAGTGGCCTAATGAATGCTTTGTACAAATTAACTCTTACTTTCTTGCTTCTGCACTCAAAACTGATTAATATATTTTGTTTATAGTTACTTCAGTACCATTGAAACCATTTTACGTAAATTTTCTGTAGTATAATGGTTGCAATTGTAAGTTTCTTAAGATCCAGTTATTTGCTGGACATCAGAATGTGTTATAATTTAAGTTGGATACTTTAAGGCATATGTGAACTTCTCTACAGGAACTTCAACAGGGCAAAACAGCCAAATATCCAGTAGTAGAAGTTCCAAATGTGAGTTAGTAGTGTTAAGTAACATTAATGCAAATTGCTGTTGGCATGGTATGGCCCTGGCAATGGAGGGCATAACTTGAAACGATGGACAAGAAATATATATTGGCCCAACGTTAAAATATACTAATTTGTAAATCCTTTTTCTTACATACTACATAACTCTAGTTTTGTTATTAAATTTTCTGACCATTTGTTTGTCATTACCAGATATACTAATATTTAATAATGTGCATGGAGTAATTAAGTAGAACAGCCGCTAATCTCTCTAAAGTATCCTAAATTCGTTAGAAAATCAGATGGTGCTGATATCCCTGGAAAAATGTTCCCCTTGACCATTCTCTTCTAAGTTTTAACCTTTTACTTCCTCTCCGAACGATGTTGGCTCCAGATGTATGCAAAACCTTCTCTAATAACTGGCATTCCTTCACCAGAAAGCTTTAACAGTATTGTCATGATATTTGACTGTGGGAGGAATCTGTGCTGAATGTAATTCTGACACTATTAAGGGCCAGTACACACATTTCTACCAAAGGTTGAGTACACAAATAGGATTATCCTTTATTAATCCAACATCCCAAAGTGAATTGTAGGACATGTAGTGTTATCATTGCTGACTCAGCACAGACCTGGGATCAAATCTGGAGCATTATGCTATTTATGGCTGAGCTTCTAACTTAATTAAACTTACTGAGTAATTGAAGGATGACCCTCTGTATAAATCTCTCATCTATGTATATAAATCATTAACGACATGTGTTGGGTGTATTTATTGACCAAAATCTATCAATGTCAAAAATATTACTTGTATATTTTCAAATACACCATCAAATTTCTCCAAGTTCTCCACAGGAGACCAAATTGACTTCTACTGTGCAAAGAACCAGTTTACAGTTCCATACCTCAGGCTGTTCGTTGCAAGAGCTAGGTTTCACTCTGGTCAATCGGCAGGGGAAAAAAAGGGCTGTATTCCAGAGGTAAGATGAGAGTAACTGCTGTAGATACCAAGGCAGCATTTGAGAAAGTGTGGCCTAAAGAAATCGTAGTAAAATTTAAATAAATGGGAATTAACGGAAAATCCTCCATTTGGTTAGAGTCATATCTAGCGCAAAAGACAATAGCTTTTGGTTGTTGGAATCCCAGGTATCTCTGCTCCAGGATATTGTTGTTTCAGTTTCACTATGCCCAAACATCTTCAGTTGCTCCATCAAAGACCTTTGTCTATCATACAGTTAGCAGTGTCCAGTTCCACACTCAATTTTTCAGATACTTAAGCGGTCCATTGCCAAGTGGCAAGTAACATTTATACCATATAATGCCAGGCAATGATCATCTCCAAAGGGAGAGTCTAATTATCTTCTCTTGACATTTCCTGTTACAATAAACATTCATTTCCTGTAATTGCAATAGATTGCGGATGTTTCTTCAATAGCATTTTTCAAACCGGCAATCTCTAATACCCAAAAGGACAAGGGCACTAAACATATATTACTTGCCAGTTCCAAGTTAGTTGCAAGTAAATTGCTATTCTTTCAATGTAGGTGTACCTACCTCACATAGACTACAGTAGTTCACTTAGGCAAGCCTTTGAGCATTTTCTTTGTTCTCCTCTGGAAAGTTGACTATTTGAGAATTGTGAAAACAGGACCTATCAGGGTAGATGCTTTTCCACCAAGCAGACAGAGTTCAGTCCATGGAAGTTGGTTTTTTTTTGCAGTTTTGCCTAAGTGCATGTGGATCTGGCTTTCTTAAAAAAAAAGGAACTAAAGTATACTTATTGTTGAGTCCGGAGGATGTGGCAGATGCATTGCTGATAGAATTTTTTTTGAGTAGTACTTTGTGTCATGGATACACAATCCAGGTCTCACTGAAGTACAGGAATGTGGTGATGACAACTGCTCTGTGCATTAAGGCTTTTGTCGACTTGCAGATGTTTTTGTTGTCAAACACACAATCCTGTAATTTTTAAACGCTGAGCTAGTGCTGCTAAGAACATAAGAACTAGGAGTAAGTAAGCCCCTTCAGCATGCTCAGCCATTTAATAAAATCATAGCTGATCTCATCTCAACCTCAACTTCACTTTCCTGCCCATTCCCCATAATCCTTTAACTCTTTGCTAATTAAAAATCTGTCTTCTACTTAAATTTATTCAGTATCCCAGCTGCAACTACACTCTAGGGTAGTGAATTCCACGGTTACATGACCCTTTGAGAGAAATAATCCCTCTTTATTGTTGTATGTCTTTGTCAAGAGCGTTCTTTTGATGAAGGTGCTTTCTAATTTACAGGAAAAGCTCATTAAAGTATTTTAAAGTCCTTCAAAATATATGGAAGTGGTATGTTTGGTTGAACAAGTGTGGACTGATCTATGTTTTTCACTTTGGAGCGATAGTGGTGTAGTGATAATGTCTTTGGGTTAATAATTCAAAGGTTCAAATTAATACTCTGAGGGCAAAGGTTCAAATCCAAGGCAGCAGATAGAATTTTAATTTGGTAATTAGTAAATCTGGGAAAATATATCTAGTCCCAGTAATGATGACTATGACAGCTATCATCGATTGTCGTAAGCCATCTGGTTTATGTCCTTTATGGAAGGAAATACACCATTCTTACCCAGTTTGATTTATGTGTGACTCCAGACCGACATCTTCTTAATGGTCTACCAAGGGCATTTGGGATGGTAAACAATTCTTGGCCTTGCCAGCAATGCTATAAAAGATCAGACTGAAGTTCTTGGAAGCAGAATTGAAGAGATTGAGAGTGGCTTGCAAACCTGGAGCAGAGTGGGCAACAACATAAATTGTAGATCATGCACTGTCTCTGATGGACAATTTAGATTTGACATTGAGGCGATTGAGCTGAGAACCAGCATGTAAGTGACAGTTTAAGGTTTGTATGTGAGCTAGGCATTGGTTCCATCTCTGTTTCTTCTTCTGTTTTTCACTCTCCATGAAAGTGATCATGTGTTTCTAATAGGAAAAGGGGATGTAATAGATCTTTATATGTTCAGCACAGAAACATGAAGTTTCTGCTACTATTCAGTTTGAGGTTCCTAATTTACCAGTCTATGTTTATGTCTCTGCTCCAGATGGTTTATGAAATATAATCATGTGAACCCAGAGGAGGCTGTGAGGATCCATATAGATGTTCAGGCAAAAAAGTCTATAGGAATACACTGGGGAACATTTGCTTTGGCCAATGAGGTAAGTCCTTACCTATCAAAGTGCCATTTCAAACACCTGACAGTTAATTTTAACGTTTGTTATTCATATACTTTAATTTGCATACAATTTATCTTGGCTAGACCAGAAGTAATTTTTTTTAAAATGGCAATTGCAATCTCTGTTAGCACTATTCTACATGTGTGAATGTTTGACAGTATGTGTTGACCGACCAACTCTATCTAGTTAGGCTCTCTGTAGAAATTTAAAGAAAAAAATTGCCTGCTGGGACCAATCCAAGTTACCCACAGCTCTCCAGAATTCACTTTGATTTATCCAGCTGTATTCCAGCTATCCTCCAAAATATGAGATCTCGTGGGCATCCTTTCATAAGCTGTTGGCTAACTTACCTTCCAACTTTGCATCAAAACCTCACGACTGTAGACCTTTCTGTTCAAGCTTGGGCATCGCTACATTCTTGCTGAGTGATGTATAAAATCAGGAACGACCCTGGTTTCTCATGGTCTCTGTGCTGCTTGTCCTGACTTTGGACAGAAGTCGACTACTTTTTTCCAGTCTGCTTCTCCACATCCTGTGCAGCCTTTGGTCCCAGAGCAGCTTTACAACTCCATGCAGATTATTTTTGCCTTCTTCCAATTCCAATCAAGCTGACTGCCTACTTCTGTTTGCAAACACGCACACAGTTAGATGAAATTAAACGTAATATTTCTACCCTCGCCAACCAGCACCATGGCATTGGCTGATTTCCATGAATGGCACAATCAAAAATGTAAACTAATTATCTTTTTACTTCAATACAAACCCGATGATGCTGTGGCCCATTTGAATAATTTACATCTCTAATGGTGTTTATATCTACTTTCTAGGTTTACTGGTTCTACCAAGGAATCCATTTGTTTACAATGTCTTTTTAATTTCTTCAACCTGAAAACTATATGAATACTTTAAATCGTTTATTGAAATAATTATAGCCCTGAAGAAAAAGCAAAGAACTAAGGACTGAATAGATGTTACAGGTAATCTGGAAAAAGAGGAGACCCCTACTAGCGTTTCATCCAATTCAAAGAATTTGAGACCTTTCTTCTGCAGTCACTGACCCAATCACCACATTTCTCTAAAGGATTCTGGTAGAAACACTTATAACAAGGGAGGAAGAAAGCAGGAACATATGCTTGCAGCTGGTACACCCACTTTCTGCTAGCAATTTACATGCAGGGAGATGCTTTGCCCCTGATTTTTGTCCCTTTTGCACTGCTGTTCTTTCTCATAGTAGAAAGGAGAGCAGCATCCATTGGAGAACCAATATTTAAATAATAGCCATAAGGTTATATTCCTGCATGGAGGCTAAAAAATTAGGATAGACTGAAGAAAAGAAAACTGAAAAAATATCAGACTGCATTATGACCAGAAATGGAACTTCTGGTTGCTTTTTCTCCCTGTGCCAATCTTGAGAATTTTGAAGTAAATTATTAGGCTTCCATCTTCGCTCTGATTGCAATTAGCTAATTTAGCATGAACTAGGAATTTAATCTGGGATTTTAGTGTAGAGCACAGTACCTCATGTTTATCTGAATTGTCCATAAGAAAACACACAGCTTCTGGAAATGAAAACATTGTAGTAGCAAGGTACAAGCTAATGGCATGTGATTCTGTAATAATATAAGCATTAGTAAGTGTATTGCTTCTTACCAAATATCTAAGAACTAGTATATCCAATTGTCGCTTTGCTGAAAGTAAAATATATTGCCCACAGGATATTGTAGATGCTATAAATTGGCAGGATTCCTCACTCTAATTAACCTCCTCCTTAGTAAAGGTCACAGTGCATCTGTAAAATTAGAATTGTTGAGGGACAGAGGAATTTAGTTCTGCCATTTCCCTGATATGTATCACCTTTTGTTTGAGTATTTGTTTATGTAACCTCTTCATCTGAGATGAGTAAATTGGCCATCTGCATGATAATTGAATCATCCAAAGAGAAAGGGTCATTCTTCAATAAGGCAGCTCTTCATCTGGAGAATATAGCATCTTAATAGTCTTCCTTTCTAATTATGTGACTCATTTTGTCATGGGTGTCTCTTGAAATGACCTATTATTGAATTCAAGTCTGGACAGATTTTCTGTTGTATTAAGCAGGATTACTTGTATAAGCACATTCCAAGTTGTTATATTTGCCATCATTGCAGTGGATTACATTCGTAATTTATTAGACTTCATTCTGTCCCTACCTTGAGGGAATCTTTAATTCTGATTCTCTCCCTCAGCAAAGTCTTCCTCCAGAATAAACAAAAAAATGTCCTTTTAAAAAGAAACGAGTTAACTTTGCTGTAATTTTTTTCTGTTTCCTGAAGGTATTAATTAGAATGTACTTGCTAAAGGTCTTTCCCTGGCAGAGCTTGTGAAGGCCAAATGGAAGCAGGCAACCAATTTACATAACGAAGGCCCCATTCAGGTCAGTTTAGGAGTAACAACATGGCTGAGTGACAGGAAACAGTAGTAATGAATGGTTAAAAACCGAAAGAACTGCAGATGCTGTAAATCAGGAACAAAAACGAAGTTGCTGGAAAAGCCCAGCAGGTCTGGCAGGATCTGTGAAGTAAAAAAAAGAGTTAATGTTTGAGGTCCGGTGACTCTTCCTCAGAACTCCTCAGAGTAATGAATGGTTGTTTATCTGACTGAGGTCAGTTTATAGAGGGGTTCCCTCGGGACGACTGTTAGGACCCCTGCGCTTCCTGATATTTCACGACACTAGGTGATAGTCCAACAGGTTTGTTTGGGAACACAAGCTTTTGGAGCCTTGCTTGTTCTTCAGGTGTTAGTGAGAGAGGTGGCATCAGATAAGGAATTTATAAGCAAAAGATCAAAGGGTCATAGAACCAATGCAAATGTATTTGACAAACCTAAGATGGCTGCTAAATCTTTAATCAGTTAGAAAGGAGATGCAGGTTTCAATTGATTGATATGCAAATCCCAGAATTTCTTTCAAGTCACTGCCCTGAGATAACTAAAGGTTTTATCAGTAACTAGAGGTGACATCTCAGGTCAGACAATGCATTTTAGATATGAGGCCCTGTTTAGAATCTGGCTGTGTATTAACTTGGAGTCAGACTGGTTTTATTTCCTAAATGCCACATTGACTGTTTACAAATTGTATGCTTTTTGAATAGAATGTATCTGCAATTACAAATCTACAAATGCAAATTCGCCCCATAGTGCATAAATCTATGTGTGGATGCATGTGAGGGGAAGGGAGAGTGAAGCATGCGAGTGTGCACACGCACACGACACACAGTCTCTGCGTGCATGAGAGAGAGAGACAGGGAGTGGGCGTGAGGGGGAGTGAGACAGAGAGTGTGCGCTTGAGAGAGAAGCATGTGCACAGACAGAGAGTGCGTGTGTGAGACAGAGAGCAAGAGTTAGTGAGTGAGCTTCTCAAGCATGCGCGTGCACACACACACGCTCTTCCTCCACACATGCGCGCGCGTACACTCTCTTTCTTCCCCTCCCCTTACTCTTACATGCACACAGGCGCGCACACACACATATATTCTATGGGGTGAATTTGCAGCTTAGTAATTGCAGATACAGTCTATTTTGTTCAAAAAGCACAATTTATATTCAGTCAATGTGGCATTTTATAAAATTATAAATACAAAAACAGAAATGCTGGAGAATCTCAGCAGGATCTGTGGAGAGATGCTGCCAGACCCTTTGTCACTGTACTCGAAACATTAACTTGGTTTTCCTCTCGGTTCTCCAGCACTTTCTGTTTTGTTCCAAACGACTTCATGCTCAGTTCATTTAGAAACAAAATTCTCACAGCCTTCTACATTAAAAACATCCCTCGCATTGCCTTTCTTAATTGGAAATGCCATACAAAACACCCCATAAAAAGGAATGGAAATTATTTCTTTGGAATTCTTAACTTCTGACAATGTTGTAGGATCTCTGTTACAGTGCAGTTTTGCTGCACATGTTTAATGGTGCTGTGAAGGAATAAACTTTTGATACCAATTCTAAATTTGGAGCCGAGTTTTTTCCACCCATTGAGCTCAAGCTGGGAGGCAGGAGGGATGTCAACATGTTGAGGAAAGGTGTATGATTGAGACCCCCAACATCTTTCCAGTGCCATGCCATTATTGCCAGTGGCACAACCCTTAGCAGCACAACTGCCAAGTCGGCAGTGGTTGACCTACTTAATGACCAAAGTTAGGGTCACTTCCTTCCCTTGTTGGTGTCTTTCCTGTATTGGGAGAGTTGGCTGCTGCATCAGAGCCTACCAGATAAACATGGGGGCCTCCAAGTGGGTTCCTCTGGTGCTGCCTCTTGTGAGCAGTCCATGGCTAATGGAGGGCCCCTGCCCCAACAATAGCTTCCCCAGCAGCAACACTGCTATCGGTGCACTACAATTTCTTGCAGCCTGGTCGCTGGGGCCTTCCTGCCTAGCTCTGGCATCCTCACATAAACCTTCGTGTTCTTTGCCTTTCAGAGGCTCTCCTCCTATACCTGCAGCCTCAGCAATGCCTCAGCTAGCAGCAGAACAAAGGAGTGACACCCCTCCTGAATTGCATGGCTCTTCCAGAGCCGGCTGTTCGTTGGTTGCCAGTAGCAATTGCCAGTGTCTTTCTGCCTATTGAAGTGAAATTGGCTTCTGCTTTTGATCATGGCGGCAGAACTTGCCAAATAATAAAATAATTCAACTCCTTATTTCAACGGAAAATAAAGACCTTAGATGACTGCAAAGCAGAACCAAAAACTAGTTTTACTAGGAGTCTCACCCAATATACTTTCTGTCTCTCACAGGTGCCTAAGGTGAGACTGTATTTGTGTTTATGTTATCAGTACAGTGTTGATGGGTAGTAACGTTTAAGTTACAGAACAAAAACACCCTTTGATAATCACTATAATGGTTGGGACCAGGCTGCCGAATACAAGTAGTATGGAGATTCAGATTACACCACTCTTATAATTTGCAGTTTCAATTCCAAGCAAGTCTGTCTGTGTAGTAAAAGAATAATTCA